CGGATTGATTTCTTCTTCTATCAGTTCTTTGAAAAAATTGACTAAAAGGTTGGCGACAACTTGGGCTTTGACAGTCATTCTAGGCATATAAATAAAGTCAAATTTGCTTAGCTCTATTGACCATTTAAGCAGCTTTCTCGAATGATTGAGCTTGGATAATACCAATCTCAAAGGGTGGTCAGTGATAATATGCATTGTATGAGCTTGAAATTAAGGGCGTAAATTCCCTATTGAAATGATCAAAGCCAACACAAGCTCTTCAGTTATCATGTGTCTTCATTCAGTTCCTTGGAGTACTTTGCTCTTACAATAGTCTAGAGACTATTTTTTTATTCTCCTCGTAAATGAGTATCGAGCAGACAACCACTTTTTCGACTCTCAGGTAGATGAATAACTCTTCTCCCGACTTAGAGCTTTGAAATAAAGGAGGCGATAATAATAGTTTTTTCTGCTGTATGATCTTATTCTTCTGTCTAAGCAAAACAACTAGAATTCTTCATGGTTTATAGAACGGAGAATATCAGTCCCAGACTTCTATATGAATCTATTGAGGGCGACTATTCATCCGATCAAGATTTGTATTTCTTTGAGATTTTTAGGGGGCGACATGTTCAATATAGCTTGGACCTTCTCCAGAATTGACTTGATTCTTTCTGGTGTGATTAAGAATTCGAGAAAATTTTTTGAGCTTGCTCAAAGGTACACTAGAGCGTTGAGTTTTAATTTAAATTTCTTAAGAGTAATGAGTTTTTTTATTATGTTATATGTGTTATTCTGATGATTTACTTTTTGATGAGGGGATCATCAATATTGATTTCAACATTTTTTCCTATTTGATTTTTCAAAATTATATTCATCATCCTTTGATAGGTTGCACCAGTATTTTTTTGGTTGATGGGCATTGCATTATAACAATATACATATTCTTTAGTGACAAATGCTATTTTTGAGCATCATCAGCATGCATCTTGATTGATGGTATCCCAAAAATGTGTCCAAAAAATTCATGACGAAATATCCCACTGCTGAGTTGACCATCATCTCAATTTGTGGTATAAGATGATTGTCTTTTGGGCACGTGATAATTAAGTTGGAGAAGTCAGCACCCATCCTCCACTTGTTGTTGGTTTTAAGCACAATCACAATATTTGTGGGACTGTCGGGATACTGTACCTCTCAAATGAAGCCTGTATCTAATAACTTAGCAACCTCTTGCCAAATAAGCTGGATCTGGGTGTTAACCATGGGTCTCATCTTTTGCTTGAAGAGCTTGGCTCTCGGCCTTACGTTCAGTCGGTGGCTGGAAAAGTCAATGTCGACTCCGGACATTTCGCCAGAAGTACATGTGAACACGTCGAGATGACCTCTCAAGGTGGCGATCAAATTGTCTTGATGACTTCTGCTGAAATCGATGCTGAACAAGAATTTTCTGTCAACTTCTTCTTTAAACACATATATTGGGTTTGACACTTCAGTGGCCTTCATGGCCACTGCTTTTATTGTTGTCAAGTTGTTACAGATCTTCCTATGCATTCTCCATAACTCGTAAGTAATTGGTTTAGGATGAGATTAGACCACCTTGAAGAGTGACTACTTATCCTTCAACCAAAAAAATTACAACGGTATGATGGTGGATGTCACTGCTTTGACAGTGCTCAATACCATTCTGCCAAAAATGACAATTACATGCTAAGAGCTTCCATGGCAATGAACTCAACTAGAACTATCAAAACGGCTTGTTCATGAACAGTTTGTGTTTAGCTCGTTAAGTAGTTTGTGTTCGATTCATTCACTAACTAAACAAACTGAACACAAACAATATTTTTACGCTTGATATATAAACGAGTTGAACACAAACAATGATATTTTTTAACAAGCCGAACAAGAGCCGATCCTGGGCTCCCTCAAAACTCAGCTCGTTTACACACCTAACTTCAAATGATGCCATAAATTGGCGTTCTCCTCCCCTTCACGTCACGCGCAAGGTGATTATTCCACATGTTTCTTTTCAATCACGAGAGAACCTGTATGGTGGTAGCAAGATGATTAGATTCTATGCCCATTTTTTCAAGTACTTTTTTGAACAAGATATTAATGGAGCTTCCCGTGTCGATCATGATACTCATGATTTGGTAATCCGCAATCACTATGGTGACCACTAACACATCTTTGAAAGGGTTCCCTCCTGCTGCCAGATTGATATATGTGGAAGTGATGGGAGGATGAATTGTTGTCGCACACTTAACCAGGGTAGTGGAGTGAACCTGTCCAATCTTCAGTCGCTTCAAATTGGACCTTCACATAACTTCATGTCTGTCTCCTCTGAAGATCGCCAGTACGATGCCAACGACATGTACTAGTTTTGCTAGAGTGGACTCGTTATTGATGTCCTCCATGGGCACCTTTCCCTGCCTTCAAGTTTTTCGCTTGTGGAGCCACTAACTTCTTCAAATTTCTCACCTTTATTAGTTCTTCGATGAGGTTGCAGAGGTGTCAGCATTATTCCACATCAATGTCGTGGCCCTATTATGCACAATATCAGTTGGGTTCACACACATAATCCCACCTTCATGGAAAATGATTTTTTAAAGAAGACTTTAATCTCGATGACCTTGACGATCTCGACCATTGATACCCCCAAGGTAGTGCCATCACAAGAGGGAACTGAGGCAGCTCCTGTCTACTCTCAGGCCTTCTTTTGACCAATCTTTTGTTTGTATTTTATCGCTCTTGTTAGTGGAAGCATTTGTCAAAAGGGTTTCAAAAGTTCTTCCTGCCAAAGCAATGCCTTGGGCTCTCATGCTCTCAACGGGACAAATTTTAAAACTTCCCTTTGGGCTCATGTGTTATGGAGGAGCCTTGCTAGAAATTGTATTCCTCAACAGAAATATGATGATTTGTGAGCTCTAAGAACTCGACCAAAGTTTTTGGCTTTTGTAAGCAAATTGCTTACCTGAATGGACCTTTGTGCGGGCCTTAAGCCAAGGCTACATGAGCAACAATAGGTTCCATGTCTCAAACATCCAAAATCTCTCATGTGATGAAGCTTTTGAGATTGTGTGGTTTTGACAGATCTTCGAGAGAGCTTTAGAATTCTTTGGTGGTTTTCACGTGCTAGCAAATTATGTTATGAACATGTGAACTCTCTGAAGGAGATGATGACTTCCGCAGGTAGTTTTTTGAACTAGCGCAAGGCCGATTCTTTCGATGTTATGAAAGCAAACAACATCTATGACATCATTTATTCTTAACATATATACAACTGACTCGAAGGAAGATACATGGTCAGTAGGATTTGACTTTCTTTTATAATATTTAAAAGAAGGAAACTTAAATTTCCTTGGTACCCGAACTCCCACAATCTTTTTTGAGAACATGCTTCCAATTGTCCTTTTCTTCTTCTTCTCCTTTCGACTCCCTCGTCTGAGTATTCAGAAGGTTCATGCTTCGGGATGTAGGCTTCATCCCTTCCTTCTTCTAGCATTAGACCCAGGGTTCGTCTAGGACATGCCCTTGGCCCTTGGCCCTTGGTAGATCTTGCTAAGAGACTCTCTTGCCTTGGTGGTTTATGCCTTGATGTCCCCCGTTTATGTACCACCGACCTTGATAATATTGCTTGTGCCTTGCGCTGATCATTTGAACGAGATCTGGAAGCTTCTTGCCTTGAACTTTATTAGCTTTTAGGACCCGTTCCCTCAGCTCGTTGATCTGTTATGTCACAAACACTTTGACATAATTCATTGTTTTTCTTTGATACACTTTATGCTGGAAGGATCCTCTTGCAGTGTTTGCATATAAAGTTCACGCTCTTCGCACCTTTCAGGATGTTAAATCATGTTTAAGATACAAGATCCCTTATTATTTGCGAGTTCATACAACCTGATAATGATCATGTCTTTAAGAGGTAGGTGTAAAAAAATATGATGGAAGAATCCTTGCTTTTCTCATAATAAGAGAAAGAGGGAGAGTGTGAGAGTAAAACCCTTTTGGAAGTCTTGTAAATGGAGTCCCCTTTAATAAGAACATCTCTTGCCTTCTTTTATACATGAGAGAAATGAAATATAAAGTTACATTCTATACGGTACGGTGCCTTTCCACGTTGTTTTTCTGAAAAAATCAAGGTGCAGGTGTCAAGTGGTGCTATAAGGATTGATACATGCTTTTGTGTGTAATGATGGTCTTCTTTGGTGGGCTCACTTCGACCACTTCAGTAGGTGGGCTCAATTCGACCACTTTGACGTGTGGGCTCTGTTCGACCACTTCAACAAGTGGCTCATTTCGACCACTACAGTAGGTGGGCTTAGCTTGAGAATAACTTGACCTTTGGTGTTGGTCTTTGGGACCCTTAATGTTCTTTATGATGTATCCCTGAAAAAGTTTTCTTAGTGTGTATGATCATATTTGGGTATATAACTGTAGATGTTTTTTTTATTTATTAAAATTTAATATTTTGAATGCTATATATGTAAATAATGAGGTTTGGGTGTGGAATATGTAAATTATTATGTTTTGTATGTTATGCCAGAGTGTTTGGTAGCATCATTTTAGCAGGATTTACGTCGAGATTTTACGGATATCCAACCAAATGCGAAAATAGCGTATCAAAATTTATCGCTCTGTTGAATCCAATTTTCTATTTGTTCCATCTTTTGTTCGATCTTAACTGAGCCAAAAACTATTCCGGATTTAAGAGCAGCTGGATTAGATAAATTCGAATTTAGCGGATTTACTAAATCCTATTTAACTTCAATTTTGCTTGCAGCCGAACACCCACTAAATCTCTCTTCAATTTTTACATACTGCCTTACCTATTCATAAAAAAATTTATTCACATTTAAAATTTAAAATAGTGATATTTTTATGCTACATGAAAGATTTGAATGGTAAAAATATAAAAAAATAAAATTTAGGTGTCAGCTATGTAAATACTTAGTCTTGGGTGGTACTTATGTAAATGCAGCTTCTTGTTGCTATATATTGATTACTTGTTTTGCTTCCAGATATGTGAATGGATGAGAACTCAACCAGACATAAAGCTACTTCCCGGCGACTACGCCGTGCACTTAGACCTAATTTCCAAGGTCCGAGGTATCAGCAGCTCCGAGAAGTTCTTCGAAGATCTTCCCGATCGAATGAAAGCGCAATCCACCTGCACAGCCCTCCTCCATGTTTACGCGCAGAACAAACTGTCGATCAAGGCAGAACAGCTCATGAAAGAGATGAAATCTCATGGTTTCCTCACCTGCTGCTTACCTTACAACCACATGTTAACTCTCTACGTCTCCACCGGCGAGCTCGATAAAGTACCAGAAATAATCAAGGAGCTGAAGAAGAACACCACACCGAATGAATTCACTTATAATCTATGGTTGAGTACGTGCGCTGATAAAGTCGATGTGTGGCGCAGAAGCCGCCATTGTCGATATGGCTAGGTACAAAGTGGCTGGAGATTGCATCACATTCAGCATTCTGGCCAACATTTACATCAAAGCAGGTCGTGCGATGAAGGCGAGAGAGGCATTGGAGAAGATGGAGAGGAGGATTTCGAGAAAACATCGAGCCTCTTTCTGTTCCCTGGTAAGCTTGTACGCCGCTCTCTCCGATCGAGAGAATCTACGAAGAATATGGAGTAGAATGAAATCCATGTTTCGAAAGATGAGCGATGAAGAGTACAGATGCGTTCTCGTCTCGCTCCTGAAGTTAGATCTTGTTGATGAGGCCGAAGCTATCTATGGCGAGTGGGAGTCTGTTTCAGGAACTCGAGATTCGAGAGTCTCGAATGTTCTTCTTGCGTACTACACGAAGAACGATATGAAGAAGGCGGAGAACTTCCATGAGCGCGCACAGAAGGCCGGGATCGTACCGAGTTATACGACTTGGGAGAATCTGGCATTAGGGTTTCTTCACTTGAAGAAGATGGATGAGGTTTTGCGCTGTTTGAAGGAAGCTTTCTCCTGCGTGAAGAAATGGGAGCCTAACGCTGGGCTTGTGAGGGAGGTGCAGAAAGGATTTGAAAATGGTGGTGATTCAGAAGGAGCGGAGAGGTTCTTAGTGCTGCTTCGTGATGCTGGATATGTTGAGACTGAGATTTACAACGCTTTGCTGCGCACATATGCGAATGCGAGGAAGATGCCTCTGATAGTTGAAGAACGCATGAGAGCGGATGGTTTGGAGATGGACGAGGAGAGCAAGAGATTGATTAGGTTGACCAGAAAATTCTGCGTTGGAAGTGCTGAGAGCTTGATTTCATTATGAGGTATTTATTTTCCTCTTTATTTTATGAAAAAATATTAGGTGCCGACAACATGGGTGCGGATTTAGTGATATTGTGGTGCAATACCATCAATCTACGTGTGCGAATCTTACACGTAATATTAGAAAAGAAAAATCTTTATGCACATCATATAATTTACCCCAGCGATATGGTACATGAGTGATTTTTCCAATTACATATTGTACACCAAAGTTATATATATATATATATATGATATATTGTAAAAGAATGCCCGAAAGCTATGATACGAGCCTCCAACCACCATCAGGTGCCTAACCACTCGATCCCGCGCTGCAAGGCAGATGCACTTAGGCGGGCTCAAACCCGTGACCCTAGGGATTTAAAACTGACTTTGCATATGCCAACCAAATATTCTAATAACTCCCCACATTAGTAATTATTACTCTCGACATCCCAAATCTTCTAAAAATATTTTCCTTTAAAAATTTTGCGACATTTCGAGCATCACAATGAGATAAAACAACCGCTTCTGTCCACCTTTAAACATAGTATAAATGGTTCCATAAAGTTTAATCCACAAATATAAATTAAAGAACATTTCATTTCTTATAGAAATATTGTTTACTCGCTGACATCGATCACATGTTTCTATATAAGTATTAACATCTCTAAATATTGCATGCCAATAAAATCCAGATTGTAAAATCTTATATGCAGTTTTATTAATTTCAAATTGTCCCCCAAAATCAAAATCATGATATTTTTTGAATAATTTGTTGAGTTTCTTCCATACGTACACGTCTTCTAATATTTTGGTCCTTATATTGTTTATATAAATATGAGTCATCCTAGAAGTAAGATTTTACATCATGCATAAATTTTTTTTATTGTATGTCAAATCATATGGTAAAATTTTACAAACTATGAAATTAACTATGTCGACATACCATGAAACACGTCATTCAGTCATAATATATAATTTTTCATCAGGAAAATATTCATTGATTTCATTTTCAAGATTAACCAAATTTTCCTGTTCAAGCTTAGATAAATGATCAACAATCTGATTATCAGTTCCCTTCCTTCCGATTATTTCAAAATTAAATTCTTGCATCGAAAGGACCTATCTGATTAACCTTAGTTTTGTATCCTCCTTCAACATTAGATATTTAATAGCAGAGTGATCTATATGCTCAATACATTTAATTCTAATAAAATAAGAACTAAATTTATCAAATGCATGTACTATTGCTAATAACTCTTTTTTCGTAGTAATATAATTAATTTGAGCTTCATTAAGAAGCTTCATTAAGAGTCAATTTGAGCTTCATTAAGAGTCTTACTAGCATAATATATTATTTTAAAAATTTTATCATATTTTTGTCTCAAAATAACTCCAATAGCATAATCACTCACTTCACACATCATTTCAAATGGTTTCCCCCAATCAGGCGAAACAATAATTGGAGCGGTGATTAGTTTTTCTTTTAATAATTCGAAGGCATTTAGGCACTCCTGATTAAAATCAAATAAAATATTTTTTTTCTAAAAGTTGGCACAGAGGCTTAGTAGGTTTTGAAAATTTTTTAATATATCGCCTGTAGAAGCCAACATGTCCTAAGAAACTCCTTACTCTTCTCACCATAATAGGAGGAGATAGTTTAACAAAATAACTTAAAGATTTGTTAGATCTACTTCCATGCAATTTTTAGAAATTTTATGTCTAAGTACAATTATTCCTGCAACCATAAATTGATATTTCTCTCAATTGAGAACTAAATTTGTTTTTTCGCAGCGTTTTAATACATTTCTAAATGGTTTAAACATGACTCGAAGGAAGTACCAAACACTGGAAAAATCGTCCATAAAAATTTCAATTCCTTTTTCAATTAAGTCGCAGGAAATGGAAATCATGCACCTTTAAAAAATTGTTGGTGCATTGCATAATTTAAAGGGCATCCGTCTAAAAGCGAAACTCCCATAATGACTCGTGAATGTGGTTTTTTTTTATCTTCAAGGGTTATAGGAATTTAATGATAATCGATATATCCATCCAAAAAACAGAAATATTTGTGCCTCACAAAACTGTCTAACATTTGATTTAGAAAAAGTAAAGGAAAGTGATTTTTCCTTGTGACGGGATTTAATTTATATATTCAATGCAGATTCGCCACCTAGTGACTTGTCGAATTGAAACTAATTCATTCATTTCATTAACAGATGTAGTCACTCCTTTCTTAGGAATACAGTGGATTTGACTAACCTAAGCACTGCCCGAGATGGGATAAATAATTTCAACAATTAACCACTTTATAATTTCTTTCTTTTTTGAGTTAAGTCTCCTTTGAAGGTCAGCCCTCGGCTTATGATTTTCTTCTATTAAAATTCAGTGCATGTAAATAGAAGGACCAATACCTTTAATATCAACTATTGTCCATCCAAAAATTTTCTTATAATTTTTTAAAATTTACATTAATTTTTTGTTATTGATCATCGGTTAAGTTTGATGATATTATAACAGGTAATGTAGATGAGTTCTTTAGAAAAACATATTTTAAATGTATAGATAGAACCTTCATATCTAGTTCAAGAGGTTTTTCAATTGAAGGACTGAAAAATTTACTGTTTTCACTAGTGTTTAACAGCTCAAAATTTTTCTAATCAAAATTAGTATCCTCATTAATCTTTTCAATTATTTCATCTTTCAAATCAGTATCTTCTTCGTGATTTACTTATTGTTGTTCCATTTCATCTTCATAATATTCCTTGAAATAGTTTTTACTTAAATGATTGATAAGTTCCATTCCGAAACATTCATCATCTCTTCTCTTTGTTGGATATTTCATCGATTTTGATATATTAAATGTAACTTCCTGATCATTGATTCTTATGATCAACTCTTTTTTTTGCACATCTATCATAGCTCTTCCAGTAGCAAGAAAATGTCTCCAAAAAATGATTGGAATTTCTTTTTCTTTCTCCATATCTAATACAATGAAATCTATAAGAAAGATAAATTTATCCATTTTTACTAACACATCTTCAATAATTCCCTTCGAGTAAGTGATCGATCGATTAACTAACTGAAGAGTTATAAATGTGGGAGAAATCTCTTCTAAGCATAACCTTTGGAAAATAGATAGAAACATAAAGTTAATGCTGATTCCTAAATTAGATAGAGCTTTCTTGTAAAATTTATCTCCTATTGCACATGAAATAGTAAAACTACCATGATCTTTAAGTTTCTGAGGAAGTTTTTTTTGAATTATCGCACTACACTCTTTAGTAAGAGCAACAGTCTCATTGTCTGTAAATTTTTTTTTCATGTTAAGAATTTTCTTCATAAACTTAACATAGCTCGACATCTATTCCAGAGTTTCAACAAACGATATATTAATAGTTAACTTCTTAAATACTTCCATAAACTTTAAAAATTATTTATTCAACTTTTGTTGCCGAAGTCTCTGAAGAAATGGAGGTGGTGGTCGTTCTAAATTGATCTACATTGGAGAAATATGCTTTTCTAAGTTTTGAGGAATATCTTCATCAAACTTTTCAATTTCTCTTCTCTCAATTTCAATTTTTTTGAACTCCCTTCTCCAATCCTCTTCCACTTCTTAATTGGATAATTTTTACTTGCTCATTGTTCTGCTCTTTAGGGTTAATTTCAATATTATTAGGAAGAATTCCCTGAGGTCTATTGCTAAAGGCGTTAACAATTTGTCCCAGTTGATTTTCAATATTTTTAATTGTCGCTCATTGACTTTGTAATTGATTACCCATGCGTAACATCATTTCTTCTATAGACAACTTCTTCTCCTTAAATTATTTGTTAGTTTATATTCTGGAGGATAAGTTGGTCTATAGTTAGTACTACCCTCGTTGTTCAGTTCCTAATGGGTTTGCTTGATTGTTCCCCCATTGCTAGTTAGCACCACCCGAATTATTATTCCAGTTAAAATTAGAGTGGCTTTTCCAACCTGGGTTGTAATAGTTAAAATAAGGGTTATTACGTTTATTCTTAATTGCATTTAAAGTTTCAAATGTAGGAATGGAAGAATCAACCATTTGTCATGATGAATTTTCTTCAATCATTGAAGGCGTTTAAGATAAATTCATTTCAAATTGATCTATCTTTTTTGATATTGAAGCTACTTGAGATGTTAACATAGAATAACATCAAAATCATGAACACTGACTATTCATTTCTTCACTTAAAAAATATGCTTCATCGAAATGTTTTGACATTAATGAACCACCAACAGTAGTATCAATAATAGATCTAAGATGTCCTACTAATCAATTATAAAATGTTTGAATTATTAACCAATTGGGCAAAGAATGATGTGAACACTTCCTAATAAGTTTTTTAAAGTGTTCCCAAGCCTCATATATTGATTCTCATTCAAATTAACAAAAAAAAATGTAATATCATTTCTATGCTTAGTTGTCTTTGAAGGTGGAAAATATTTAGCCAAGAATTTCTGTGCTAGGTTACTCCAAGTTTTAATAGATCCAGGTCCTAATGAGTTCAACCACATTTTAGCTTTATCCCTTAAGGAAAAAGAAAAAAAGTCTAAGTCTAACAACATCGTTAGAGGTACCATTTTACTGAAATGTGGCATAAAATTTTAGATAACTTACAAAATGCAAGATAGGATCTTCAGATGGAGTTTCTCCAAACTAGTTATTCTGTACCATCTAAATGATAACATGTTTTAATTAAATGTGTTGGCTTCTACGACAGAAATTTGCATAATTCGATGAATTTCATCTACCGTAGAGTTAGCATAATCTCTTAATGGTTTTTGTACATTCTGGTTAATTTGATTTTCTAAATTATTAAGTAAAGTATTTGTCATTTCTTGAAAACCGTGGAGTTCTTTTTGTTTTTTAATTTTTCGAACTGTTTGCTCTAACTCAGAATCGTAAGTCCCTAATTCTTCAGATCATGTACTATGCATACACTATTAAAGATAATAATAAAAACACATAAAACACACAAAATATGTATGTATATATATATATATATATATATATATATATAT